AAAATGGGGTTGACCAGCAGCCCAATCTCCCAGAATTTTGTGGGAATTCAATGAGAAGCCTAACTACGGAGGCTGGCAATGACTGCGGGGCACACAGGCAGTGTTTATAAAGGGCTGGCCACTAATATCAGTATTAACCTGGAGCATCTGAATACACTTCCCAGAAATATTCAAATACAGAAAAAAATTATAAAATTTCTAAGGTTTCCCAAATGCCCTGGGTAAATCAATTTAATCAGAAAGAAAACTGACTTCCTAATTCTTTTAAATCTCATATTCACTTATTCACTCAGCACCCACTTGAGAAACACTGTGCCAGGTAACTTAATATCCACCATCCAGAGCACATGTTCCAAACAGTGGGCCACAGCCCATCGGCAGGTAGACAAATCAACTTAGCAGATGGTGGTCAGCATTTTTTAAAAAAAGGAATAGAGGGAAGAAGAAGAAAAGGAAATATGTATGCGCTTCTAGTACAGTAAGGATTGTTATGTGAAACTTTTATTTTGGTTCCAAGTCAATAAACATGTCTACAGGCATGGAGCTGACGATATAAAGTACTTCAGGCCTTGACAAAAGTCGGAGGAACACTGAAGTAAGGTGTTACACAGCCAATTTATTAAAATGAAGGAAGCCAAGTCTCTGGGCCTGTGCCACGTCTCTCAGGGGCCTTCTTATCATCAAGGGTAGCATTGCCTGGCAGCAATTAAGAGATGGGGTGGGGAGGTTCAAATTTTTGAAATTTTGTGAAGTTTTGGGTAGGGGAAAGTGGAATGAAAACCTTTGTTCAGACAACATCCTGTGCTTGTCTTCAGACAAGACCCTTTGCCAGGGTCTCCAGGAAACAGAGGCAAAGCACTGGCCTGAGGGAAGGCACCACAAAGCCCACATACTCCTAAGTGGCCTAGCCGCCCTCTAGAGAAGGAAGATGTGCCCAGGAGTTGAGGGTCCACCCCGCTCCCTACAACAGCCACGGAAAGCTCTCTCAACCACTCTGAGCCTCCCCGAGAACACCTTTCTCTATGCAGAATACACTGCTGGGTGCTATCCACAGTCCATCACCTTTCTTCCTCACCAGAACCCCCAAGCACGGGGCTGACTGGGATTCTTCCAGGCCAGTCATGGTGATGCCACGGCCCCATGAGCACTCCCTGTGTCACGTGCCTCCATTCTGGCCAGTAAGACCCAAACTGGGGCTTTGAGAAACCACACTCCTCTCCCAGGGAAAGCAAAATAACAAAGGACAGGCACCTGCTGCTTACCTGCCTGTCCTTCCACCACAGACAGTTTCCTGGGAGGACATGACAGCTGGGGCTGAGGCACCATCTCGGAAGTGTGGCCAGGACATCACAGAGAAGGTGACCCCAAGCCTGGACATTGGCAGCTCATGGAGGAATGGCTGAATTAACTTGAATTAATGGCTGGATCTGCCCTACCTCCAGGCTGACTGCTTGAGACCACTGAACTTTGTTCTGGCTTAAGCCATCATTGTCAGGGTTCCCTATTGCGGGCGGCTGAGAGCGTCCCCACAGGCTGATGGCTTCCCAGGGCCCCCCCCCCCCAAGACATTCCCTTCCTTAAGCTGGTACAGTGAGTCTGCTTCAGCTGCAGCCCAAAGCCCCTTCCTCAGCAAGCTTTCTCTGGCCCCAAGATGGGACCAGGATTAGACAGTCTGTACTAGGTGACTTGGGAACCCCTGACAAGCTGTGAGCTCCCCAAGAAGGTGACAGATGAACATTATCTGGGGAGGACATGCCAGGTGGCCCAAGATCAGGTGAGAGGCAGTGGTAGTGGGGCACACAGAGCCATACGGCCACTGTCAGGACATGAGATTTTGCTGCAGGTGAGCCAAGACACCCTCACCGGCTCCAAGTGCAGGACCATGACCTCGCCTCCAAGCCAAGAGGCTTGCATGGGGGCCAAAGATGGATGCAGAGACCACCAGGGAGGTCAGTGCAGTGATCTGGTATAAGGCCATGGGGCTGGGGCTGTGGACAAGGTGGGGAGAAGTGGCCGTGCTCTGTACATATTTTGAGAGCAGATACCAGGATTTACAGGCAGTCAGGAATTGAGAAAGTCACCAGGATGAGGTCCACTAGTGTGAACGGCATCCGCCTGAAAGCCTCCCTGTACCACATGGCTGTGACATGTGCTCACAGTTACGGCCCCCTCTCCTTGGCACTCTAGCCAGCATCTCCTGCCTCGAGACACTGGACATGAGCGGCACTCCCCATGCTGCGAAGGCGCTGCCCCCTTTGCTGACTCAGGGCCCCACTCTCAACCCAACTCCACTCCATCTGTGCCTCCCCCTCCCATGGTGCCAGAGACCAGGCTCCAAAGATGCTAGAATGGGAGCCCAGCTCGTTTATCTTCTTTCTACCTGGTGGGAGCGCTCCCTCACCTCTCCAGGATGCATTCCTCTCCACATGCCTGCCCCGCCAGGCCAGGGGAAAGCGGACTCCACATGCTCAGTCGAGCCAACCCCTGCTGCCCCCTACCCCTACCACCCTCTTACCCCACCCAGGACATCCACCCAGGGCAAGAGTCTGTCACTGTCACATCATAGGAGATACCATGCATAGGCAGGACCCAACATGAGGAGGCCCAGAATTCTGGGATGCCAGAACAGCTTGGAAGCAGCCACTGCCACATCCTTTACTAACTGAGCAAAGGGGATATCACATAGTGGTGACACCCCAGCAGGGAGTGCCAAGCAGAGGCACCCTAACCCTCCCCAGAGCCAGTGGGGAAAAGACTTCCAACAGATTCCATGGTGGGGGGAGAATGGGACAGGGACAG